CTCTTTGCAGATGCACATTTTGGGCAGCTGGCTACATAACTTCTTTCTATGTCCTTTTTTATTGATGGCCACCAAAATTGCCATTTAATTAAGTGTAAAGTTTTTACAAATCCAAAATGCCCTGCTGATTTTGTGTCATGGCAAAGCTGCATGAAAGTGACTCTTTGGGTTGTTGGTATATATAACTTTTCCCCTACCCAAGGCAACCCATCTCTCATTATGCACACATTTTTGTTTTTCTGGAACCATTCGTCTGTTTCCAAACTTTTTCTGAATTCAATTCCAGTTTGGCTGTCCAGTTGTGGTTTTAATTTAGTTTGGGTTCTTGTGGTTACTGGTGCTGCCAGTTGTGACTCTGCCATCATTGATTTAGAGTCTGTGGCTCGTGCGCTGTTATATTGGGGCATGCGAGATAATGCATCTGCCAGGAAGTTCTTTCTCCCTGGTAAATGTTTGAGCTTAAATTGGAACTGGTGAAAATGCTGGGACTAGCGGGGTTGTTTGGGATTGAGTTTCCTGGGCATTTTTAGGGCTTCCAAATTTTTGTGATCAGTCCACACCTGGAAGGGGATTTTGTTGCCTTCCAGGAACTGTTGCCACGTGAGTAATGCCCAACGTATCCCAAATGCCTCCTTTTCCCTGTTCTGTTTCTCTGAGTTTCTTTGATGTATATGCACAGGGTTGCAATACTCCATCATCATTTTTTGTAATAGAACAGCCCCCACTGCCACATCACTTGCATCTGCCTGTATTACGAAGGGCTTGTCCATGTCTGGGTGCCTTAGTACTGGTTCGGCAGAAAAAAGTCTCTTTAGTCTCTCAAACGCTGCTTGGCACTCCATTGTCCATGTTAGTGTCTGGCTAGGTTTTACTGAGGATGCTCCCTTCGTTTTTAGTAAGTTAGTGAGGGGCAAGGCTATCTGGGCAAATGAGGGGATGAATTGGCGGTAAAAGTTTGCAAAGCCCAGGAAACTTTGTAGTTGCTTTCTTGTGTGGGGTGGTGCCCAATCTAATACTGCTCTGACCTTCTCTGGGTCCATTTCAATGCCCTGGGGGGGGATATGCGATAACCTAAGTAGTCTATCCTTTCCTGGTGGAATTCGCATTTTGAGAGTTTGGCATATAGGTGGGCAGCCGCAGCTTCTTTAAAACCGCTCTGACAAGGTTGACATGTTCCTCTTTTGTTTTGGTGAAGATAAGAATGTTGTCCAAGTAAACAAGGACCCCCTTGAACAGGTACTCCCTTAGAACGTCATTGATTAATTGCATAAAGACTGCAGGGCCCCCTTGTAATCCAAATGGCAAGATTTTGAATTGATAACACCCCATGGGGCAGTTAAATGCGGTCTTCCATTCGTCCCCTTCCTTAATTCTCACGCGATAGTAAGCTTCCCTTAGGTCTAGTTTAGAAAAAAATTTCCCTTTCGAGAGGTGTGACAGCATGTCTTTCATGAGGGGCAGAGGGTATAGGTTGCTTTCACTGATTGTATTCAGGGCCCTATAATCCACGCATAAGCGTAAAGAGCCATCCTTCTTCTCTCTAAAGAGGACCAGGGCAGCCACTTTAGGCTTGGCTGGCTCAATGAACCCTCTGTCTAGGTTTTTTTTTTATGAATCTTTCCATTTCCTCCTTCTCCTTTGGGCTCATGGAATATAATCTGGGCTTTTGGAGTTTTGCCCCAGGCTTGAATTCAATGGCACAGTCTGTGGGTCGGTGTGGGAGGGAGCTCATTCGCCCTCTCCTCACTGTAAACTTCAGCAAGGTCTCTGTATTCCTCTGGTATTTTTGTTAATCCCTTTTCCTCTCCCATGGATGCTTTTTCTATTCTTGATTCTGGTAGCCCCCCTTGGGATTTTAAGTCCATAGGGTCCCCCTTCGGGAATTTGATTTCTGTCGTCCTCCAATTTACCCAGGGGTTCCATTTTTTCAACCATTCCATCCCTAGAATCATTGGGCATTCCATACCTGGGGTCACCACAAACGTTAAGTCCTCTTCATGGTTGCCCAGGGAGAGGTGTATTGGCAGAGTGGCTAGGGTAGCTGGCACCCCCCCTGCTATGGATCCATCTAGCTGGCCAAATGAGATTGGTTGTTCCAGTCTCCTGGATGGGATGCCCAGATTCCCCACTAGTGTTGGGCTAATGAGGCAGCGGGTGCAGCCAGAGTCTATTAAGGCTTTCACCTTCATGGCTTCGCGCATGGGGGGAATTAATATAGTCACTGTCTTGAAGATGGGTGCGATGCATCCACTTACCAGGGGTTTGCCCTCCGAGCTGTCATCTGAGGCGTCCACACGCCCTGCGGTGTAGGCTGGAGTTCTTTCCCCTTGATGAGCAGAGGTGGGGGGTTCCGCAATTTCCATCATTCTCATGGCAGTTTCTTGTGGCTTAGCTGAAGACTTTCCGGATTTGCTGATTGGGGATCTGTCTGGGTTGTGCTGGGAGGCTTTGGAGCGGCATTCTACAGCTCGATGCCCTTCTTTTCCGCACTTGAAACACCCCATTTGCTTCTTGGCTGTAGCCAATGGTTTCACTAGTTCGTGTGTCAACTCCGGCGGGGAGCGGCTCCATTGTTTTCCTCGGCGGTGTCTCTTCAATATGTCGATCTCTGCTTCCTCTGCCAAGATCTACCATTCCTCAAGTTGGTGTGGGTCCCCTCGGGGCAGGCAAGCGTCATATAGGTCATAATTTAGTCCATCTTTGAAATGGCTGAGAAGGATGTCTTCTGGCCAGTTCAGTTTGCTGGCAATGGCCCGGAATTCTTGTAAATATTCAACCACCAGGCGTTTGCCTTGCCTCATCGTTTTTATCCCATGAAAGGTAATAGTCCCCTTTGTTATGATTAGGCCTTTTGGTGCTATCCACATTCAGTTCCTTTGAAGTGTACTGAAGGAAGTGAGGGCCATAAAGCCCCTTTGTTCACCCCCTTCTCTTCATCGTATGACAGAATCCCGAGAAGGCAGAAATGGGTTTTATAGTTGATAATTAGAGATAAAATATAATTGGATTCTGACAATATCCTTATATGGAAAAATAGATGGCATATGTTGAAGCTGACTTAGAAAAGGCCAAGGAACAGATTACTGCTGAAGCACACTGGATAATTGAAAAAGTCAAAAAATATTAAAAAGATATTGCTTCATTGATTTTAGAAAGTCTTTGTGTAAATCATGTCAAACTGTAGAATGTGCTTAGCAATTAGAAGATCTAATTGTCTTCATGAGAAAGTTATACACAGATCTGGAAGCTACAGTATGGATGAAACATAGTGAAACAGACTGCCTCTAGAATGGTAAACCCACACAGATATTATTAAATAAGATGAGAGTATAGTCTTGTTATATTCCTTTACCTATATATGGGCTTCTTTTACATTAATAAGCTATGCTATATGTTGAACACTATCCTGATAGCCAAAATTACAAAGGATCTGCAAGCTCTAGCAATAAAAGTCAGGAAGCACAGTTCTTGGCAGGAATTACTTTAAAACATTTTGTAACTGAACAATTTGCTTTTTATCCTAAAAAGAAAGCCTTTCTTGCGAAGAAAATTATATATTCAACTGTTCCATTATAGACCACATAAATTCTGTACTATCAAATATATTAGCCACCAAAGTATATTTAGCACCCTATATTATTTCACAATCCTAAAAGGAACTGCAAAGAGCATTTTGAAACTTTAAAGCCCATGATTAATATCCAGCTATGTACAGTACTCTTCAGAAATATATACTCATTACTAATATTAGTGAATACCTATAAAACAATGAAAAGGTCATTACTAGACAAGATGTAAATTATTGTGAATCAGACATTCTGGCATTGCTTTTTCTATGTGAAAAAATGCTTATTCTAAATAAAGGGCATGTTTTCATGTTTAAAGAAAAGTTTTCTGGGAAAAATAAATCTGTGGTTCATAAAGTTGTAGACATGGAGACAGGAATTGGTAGAAGGAGAATTTACTCTAATAAAACAGATAATCAGCATACTAGCTGGGGAATTCTGGGAGGAAGTCCACACATCTTAAAAGTTGCCAAATTTGAAAAACATTGATCTAGAAAGGACTAGTAGCCTGAAAAAACTCTGTTCCTTGCTTAGAGTAAATGTCCATCAGAAGTATTTTATCTTGCTCAAGTGACATCAAAAGCGTTTGATGTTATTTAATCTTTTCATTAAATAACATTTGGATGTACAAAGCAGTCAATGTCATTCCTGTAAATGCAAAAGAATATTGCTAGCACAGCTTCTTTACAGGACCCTGTTTGAACCCTGCAATTCTTCAGGTGCCTCATTGTGTTTCAAACACACTTCTACCCCTGGAGACCTGATTGATAAAAGTTGAAGCAAGAATCTGTATAGCTTCCTTAAACCTCTGGCTAAAACTTAATTGTTTTCCTCAAGGCCTTGAATGTAGCACTACAACTCAATGTAAAAATGAAGAATATCCAAAAAATAAAATACAAGAAAAAAAGAAATGCAAACCAAAGATTTTAAAGAAAAATATGAAAAGTAAATTTTACATAAGTAAAAGCTAAATTCTTTTTAGAGTTTTATTATAATAAAAGACAAATTCGGAAAAATGAAGAAAATAAAGTGCACAAAGAAAAACAGAATAGAAAAACAGAAAAAGTTAAACAAGAAAAAATAACCCTTCCAACCCTCTTTTCAAACAGTTGCTAACAAACCCCTTATACCGCCTCCCTCTTGGTATTACAAAGATTCCCTTCAGCCCTATTTAATCCTTTTCCAATCATCACATCCATAAATCATCGCATCAATTTTCCCACTTTCAGCAAAAAGTCCAGTCTTTTAAAAAATACTTACTGTTTTGTCCCTGACCAAACAGAGACATGTAAATATCACTCTTTTATACAAGTTTCCCAAACAGAAAAAGATACAGAGCCAAGAAACGCCCCCAAACTGTCGATTAAAACCCCATCCGGAAACGAGGTGTGGTTTAGTTGCCACAGCAATAATCCTACTGGTCTGTGCTATCAGCAGTCGCGTGCTGGAGGTTGCTAGGTTACCTGTATGGCGAGCAGGCCTTCACCGGCTGAGGCCGCTTTTGCCTTTTCATACACCTGCAGCCAGGGCAGGAGAAAGATCGAAGTGGGTGCTCCTCAGTCATCTTAATCGAGACACAAAATAACCTTCCTGCAATACGAGGTAAGCGCGTGAAGAAGACAGTCTGGCGATGCGGCACTGTCCTCGGCGATTCAGGAGCTGGAAGGGCAGACCTTAAGCTCGCTGGAAACCGCTTCCTGTTGGAGCCTTGGTATGATTCTTTCTAATGCTCAACAAGCATAAAAGTCTGGGAGTTAAACTTATCTTAAGGGACCACGTAGGGGAAGAGATAATGTTGAGGGACCTGGAAGATATATTAAGAAAATGTATTGCGAATGTAATGCTAATGAGATACTGATTGCATTTATAAGTCTCAACATTTTTAAGTCTAACTTGATATGATGTCTTATTTGAGTGAGGGGGATGTAATTGTAAGAAAGATTCATAATGAATATTTTTTTTAAGGCTCTCCTAATTTTCATTAATTGTTTAACTATCCAACTGGTTGCTGTGGTTCTTAAACTAAGAGTCTAAGGCAGGCATGTCAAACTCACGACGCCACATGACATCGCTCAACATATCGGGGCAGTTTTGCCATTGCCGGCAATGGGGTGGGTGCGGCTTCCACCTGACACGTCTGACCCATGGGCCGGCAGTTTGACACCCCTGGTCTAAGGTACGGGTGTCAAACTCGCCATGTCACATGACATGTTGCGATGTATTGTGACTTTTTTTGTATTGCCAGAGCTGGGGTGGGCACATCCTCCATAAGATGCAACTGGCCCGTGGGCTGGCAGTTTGACACCCCTGGTCTAAGGAAATAATTTGTAATTGCTTGTTGGTACATCAAGGATCCAGATTGGAACTAGATGCACCTGTAAAACAAGGCAATCTGTTTTGTGTGTGTGGTGTTGGGTGTGTATCTGTAAAGGCATTATTGGTGACAAAAAAAGGGTATTTGGATCAAACAATTTAAGAACCAGTGCTCATATACCATCATCTCATTACCCTTAATGATGGAGTACTTACAATGTGTTTCCATGGGTGCATAAGAAAGAAAAATGCTTCTAATAATTTCTATAAACTATGAGATTTTGCAATCACATTTGTAAAAATTTAATAAAATAATGCAAGTAATTATCTGAATAACACTGAATCTCATAGTATTGCTCCTAGAGTGGCATGATGGAGTCACTCATTATTATTTATCGAAATCATCAATGCAAATAAAAAAAACAGCATATCTAATCTCTAGAACACATGGATTATTTAGAAGAATACAATGGTAACAGTGTTGGATGCATGTATAAGATCCAGTAGGTTCAAGAGAGCCCATTCTGAAATGAGTCAAGAAAATTAATTTCTTCCAAAAGAAGATGTACAGTGATTTGTGATACGTGCGTAAATATTGTTTTCTTATGCAAGTGAAGAAAAAGAGTAAAAAATATAATAAAAGAAAAAAAAAGCAGGAAGTAAATGATGAAATTGAATAAGTCTGATTTACATGATTATCATTCACTATAGCTCTCCATATCTTTTTCTACTTACAACCCATGTCCATGATTCTAGTTGTAATTTTCTATATTCTCAACAGTACATGCATATTGATTGCTCACTGTGACTATGATAAATGATGCATAAATTATTTTAATAAGATATAAATATAATAGTTTCCTGCTTTAATCATACATGTAGCATTTCCTGTTAGCTGTAATACCAATCAGGTTTAATACATTTTGACCAGTATTGCATAAGCATAGCTAAGTCCAGTCTTTGTGCCAACTGGTATCTTTAATTGAAAGACTAATTTGCAAGTCAGCATTCTGCTTCCTGTACCTCACCAAATAAGTATATGCAGTATACTGATACACACTCAAGAAACTGATTGAGCAGTGTCTCTCATGAATGCTAAATCTATGTATTTTGGAGTTAACATTGCTTCTTTTGAGGCTGATAGCCCACTCCATCATACAAAGAAATATTTGCCACTTTCTGGATACATCCAATCATTTCCTCCAGCTAGCTTATCTAAGCTAAGATGGGCAACGGTCTAAAGAACATCTTGTAGGCTGGACAATTACAAGTATGTTGAAAACAATAGCTTTCCAAAATTGAAGGTATTTCTGTATAACTGGGCAAGATGGTAGTTGATAGACTCCATAAAGTGCCATGTCAAAGAAGTACAGTGTGGAAATTACTATCAATTGTATTTTTCACAAATTTGTTACAGCAAATTTAACTTGCTAAGAAATAAGATTATAGTATATGGTGTTTTTAAGGAAACAGTATTTATGCTTTTTTAGATAATATGAATACAGTATCATTTAAATAATTTTTCTCTCATTAAATTCAAAAAGAAAATATACCTTTACAAGACTACAAGTTGAATATGTAAGGTTAATTTCCTCAGATCAAGCATCATGTCTGATGAAGATATTGTCACTACTTTAGCCTGTATCAAGAGCCCAATGTTCTCCAAAAGAACCACTTTTCAGGTAAAATAATTTTTACTTCTCTGTATCCTGTTATTAGAAATTTGAGTTCTTCAAAGTATTTGAAAGAGGTGCTTTCATAAAACTCGTTAGCTTTACAGAAGTACTATCAATTCTAACCAACATTCTCTTGAAGGCTCATATACTGTAACTGTCAATGATGGTCCCTCTGTCTGCACACAAACAATGCAGGTACTTTAATACCTAGAAGAGGGACACTTTATTAATGTTCACAGTTTGCAAAACACTTCTTTAAACTGATCAGAAATATTAATACAGTTAATCCCCGAGTTACGAGTGTTCACTTAACGCTCCTTCAAAATTACATGATGAACACCCCCTAGTGCTTACGAGCAAGTTCTGAAGTTACGAATATTGCAGCACCACGGCAGTTGTTTGCCCTTACGAGCGATTTCCGTGGCACTGCAACTTTCACCCTATTCTCCCCACTCCTCACAACTGCTTCCCCCTCCCTTCCTGCCACGCCGGATTCACTTACCTTACAAAAATTCTTTCTGCTGCTGTTTCTTTCCCTTTGAGGGAGAGCAGAATTGGCTTGGAAATGTTTTTCACACCGAGAATGGAAGTTTCCGGAATCTGTGATCTCACGTGAGTGTTTGAAGTTGTGCTAAATCACGGACTTCAGAAACTTTCATTCTCTATGTGAAAGGTGCCTATCTCCTGCTCCTGCCCCCAATTCCTTTCTGCCTGACAGCAAGACTGAAACCTTCAACTGAGGAAGAAGGCCAGCCCCCTCTCACCTGCGTCCAGCCCACGGGAGATCGCCACGCTGGGGGAGAAAGTGACCCCATTGTCCGTGCAGCCTTCCTCCAAGCGGACCAGAACAGAGGCTGGGGGAGGCTTCTGCATGCCTCCAGAGATTGAATCCAGCCCTCGGAGGACTGCTCCAAGCTGCTGCCACCCAAAATGAAACTTCCAAGGGCCTGATCCAAGCCTTGGAGGGATTTTCCTAGCTGTTTGTGCCAGGAATGGAGATTGGGGGGGGACTTCTTCATGCCTCTAGAGGTTGGATCCAGCCCTTGGAGGATTGCTCCAAACTGCTGCTGCCCGGAATGGAGCTTTCAAGGGCCTGATCCAAGCCTTGGAGGCGGTTCCTAGCCCTTTGCACCAAGAACGGAGGTTGGGGGAGCTTTCCAGGTTGCTGCCACCCAGATCTAGGGCTGGGGGATGCTTCCACAGCCCAATTGGACTGCAGGGGGCTGCGGAAGTGTTCCCTGGCCTTAAATCTGGGTGGCAGAGGCCTGGAAAAGGTCTCAGGAACTCGGATCGAGCCACGGGAGGGGGGCGCAGAAGCGTTCCCCTTCCTCAAATCTGGGGGGCAGCAGGAACCGCAACAGAGAGGAGATGGATCTTTTCCAGGTGAGTCCCACATGGCAGGAAGGGAGGGGGAAGCATGTGGTATCTTAGTGAGTTGGAGAGGCCTTGGGGGCCTGTTCTAGCACTAGGCCCTCCATGGCCTTCCTCACCCTGAGATAACTCAGGTTCGCTTAATGAGCCGCGTGCGTTTTAACGAGCAAGGGAGTGATCTCATACCTCAAACGAGTTTCATTCTACGAGTTTTCAAGTTATTAGTGGAATTGGCAGGCTCCATTATGCTCATAACTTGAGGACTACCTGTTCTTTTTTTTGTCTTCTAAATTTTGAATAAAATGTGCATGTATTTAATATTTCTGAAAGCTGGAAACACTGGACAAAGGAATACATGTAACTCTAATTAAAAAACTGGAATAGCAAATATATGCCTAGTAATGTAAAGATCTTTTTTTGAATAAGGACCTCATTGTTTAAATGATGAGGAAAACTGTTTTATATTTACATACATATATTATGTCTTGCTTTATCATTTTTGATAAAGGGATCTTACTGATTTTGAAATATTTGAGAAAGAACTAATTAAGTATCTGATAATAAAACCATTGTAATCTTCAAAAAGAAAATTACATTTACAGTAGCTGTGCAAAAAGTGGGCCAACTGTTGAAAAAAACTATTCAGGTTTTCCTTAGCAATGGTACACTAGTCAGCACCTTGTATTTTTTAAAATACTAATGGTTACATAGAGTTTCATCATGCCTGAAATATGTAAGTGCCAAACTTCTCTGAAGTATATTTGGATTGATAATTATGAGTTATCAAGACATTGTTGACTCTCAGCAACCATATAGATTTTCTCCATGACAATCTGTCTCTAGCTTAATCTTTCATCTTTCAATGAAATAGTGCACTCATATCCAGTGGTTCACTCATCATCAGCATAACTGCGTCTATTCATCTTTCTGCCCTTCTTCCTTCTTCTCATCCCTTGCACCTTTTCCAGCACTGGAGCCTTTTTCAGAGAGCTAGGTATTTGCATAATGTGTTCAAAGTAGGATAATTTGATTTTGGTTATTTGTGCCCAAACTGAAAATTCTTGACCTGTTCAGTGATCCATTAGTTTTTTTTTTCTTGGTTGTCCACAGTATTCTCAACAGTATCATGTTCTTCCTATCCTGCTTCCTCAAAGTCCAACTTCACTTCCATATAGTGTCACTGGGAATACTATGGCTTGCACAATTCTCATCTTTTTAAGGCCTTCGTGACTGCTTGCTGGTCTGCATCATATTTTGACTGTTTATCTCTTTACTGATGATGGTTGATCATTTTGATCATCATGCCATTTTGATATCTTCATTATCAATTCTAAGGCTAGTGGTTGCATTTTATAAAAATGTTATTATTTTGGTCATCTTTATATTTAATTTTAACCCCATTTTTTTCCTGGGTTCCTTGACTTTTATTACTAGAACTTGTAGCTCCTTGTGTTTTCATCAGCATAGCCCAAGTTATTGCTGTTTCTTCCTCCAGTTTTGAAGCCATGCTCCTTTTCAACCAATACAGGTTTCCTTAACAATATTCACTATTACGTTGAATAAATAATGGAAGACTATACAGCTTTGTCACACTCCTTTGTCAATCTGGAGCACAATTCTGTTCATGCTGTACTTTTGTGACCAGTCTATAAGTTTCTCATGAGGACAATTGGATTTTCTGGGATTCCCATTTTTCTAAACGCATTCTACAGCTTGACATGATCCGCACAACCAACGACCTTTCTGTAATTAATGGAGTATATACTGACTTCTTTTTGGTATTCTTCAGCTTTCTCAGTTATCTATCTGGATCAAAATAATGCTTTGTGTTTCTCAGGCTTTTCTAAAGTCAGCCTGAACATCCAGCATTTATTTACTCTATTTTCATAATTGATATTGAATGCTTCTGAGCATGATTTATGTTATCATATGAGATTCAGGATACTGTGTTATAGTTTGTATGCTTTTGTTAACTCTCTTTTTTCTGGTATTGGAATATAGATTGATATCAGGCCTGCCATCTTCAGAATATTTCACTTCACTGGCATTCTGTCATAAATTGCAAGGGAGGGGGAAAAGCAATTGGAGAAATAAGGCATGAGCATGGGAATGGGCAGTAAAAATGGGGACAGGCTGATAGGAACCAGAGGTGTTAATGTGGAATAAACCAGCTGGCCAAGGATGGAGGAGCCTGAGAATGGAATGTAAAACTTTACCAAGGAGGCAGCAAACCTCAAAGCTGTTTCAAAAACATCAAAAATGAATACTATTGGACACTGATGGACTGGTCAAGGGGAGAGGGCCAGGTAAAGGGGAAAATTACAAGCTTTGCATGGCAATACTTAGATCCAGCTTTACTTTTACGGTAACCATTTGACTTTAGTAAAACAACCTTTCATTTCAACAAATGGAGCCTAGGGTTTTTCTTTCCTAAATGTCCAAGCCAGGAAAAACTTGATATTTGGCCTTGTGAGAAATTTTATGCTATAGTTCTATGCAAGGTTTAGGCTTAGGTGAACCAAATCAGGCCTCATGGAAAAATATTGAACCAAAGTTTGAGCTATCGCCTCTTTCATAATACGATGGCAGCATTTGTAATTGGAATTATGAGTAATCTTGCTAACTGGCACATTACTATGTGTTTAGAACACGAAACTTGAGCCTGGGATTTGAGGAACTGAAATGGTGGGAACCAAAGAACTGAAGAAGCCGTGGAACAGTGACATGTGCATGGAAAAATATGTTAGCTTGAAGGTGGTGTCTGATATAACTATTATTAAAAGAATGTTAGAAGTCATGTGTTTGTGATTAAGGTATAAAAGGATGGCTCTGAGAATAGATTGGAGCAATCATGTCAAGCCGTCTCTCTGACTGCTTGCACAATATCTGCCCTTATTGCAATAAGTTAAGGTATGTAACTTTGGTATGTGTGTTCTAGATTTTAATAAACCTCCAAATTCTAAAGCGAGATGCTTATGGTGTCTCTTGTCTCTGACGAGTTTTTCCCATGACAGTTTTGGTGCATTGGCTGGGAAAGGGCACGTTGGAAGAGACTTGGTGTCCGGTTGGAGCCTCTGACCATCTCCAGGCTTGGACCCTAGGTAACCAGCTGCTTCTTTGCCAATTTCCACCCACACCTCCACTTTGAATCAGAGGTAAGAGAAACCCTGGGACCCTGGTATCTTTATCCTCACATTCGGCTGCACTTCTTAATATGCTTTGAGGATAAAGGAAGTTGTGTAAGTCTTGTCGTACTATGGTGGGGCAACGATTGTCAGAAAACAGAAGTGGCACTGGAATCTGCCCAGCCGGGACCAAAAAGGGAACTGACATTCCTGGGGACTGCTCACCCCCTTGTAGAGTATTAAGGTCATGCCTCAGGTGTCAAGGGTCATGCCCTTGAATTGTTTTTTGTAACCTATTTTTTGAGGGACTTTGCTCCCTTGCTAGGCGACGCTAAGCAGAAAAAAGTGAGGGTCATGTCATTTTCACAAGCTTTTCTGGCTGCTGGTGATTTACAGATTGAGCTCTGAGATTGCCATTTTGATGTTTGTACTTTGGGATTTTATTCAAGCTACTTGAAGTGAAGGTATGTTCCTTTTACTTTCACTCCTAGTTTACGTGGCTTTTGGAATGCAATTTGCTTTTTGTGTACTGTCTGATATTGTGCATTGGATTTTCCTTGTATGTATGAATGCCCCTTTGACCTGGATAGTTAGTGCTGGCAACGTATTAGTATCTTGAACCTGTTATTGATTTTTTCCTGTATTAAATTTGTTTGCTTCCTGATTTCCCTATGTCTTTGTGTGTAGCGACACCCACTGTTACTTAATGTTTTTTTTAATTGTGCATGGACATTTTTCAATGCATTCTTTAACTGTGTTTCTTTAGTTGTGCCTGCCCTTTAATTAATGGTGAACACTGCCTTTCTCATAGATAAGAGTCAGTTTTTTTGCTGGGACAGTGTTGTTTGTTAACAACTAACATTGGTGCTACCTTCCCCTTAGATAAGGGTCAGCTTATTTGCTGGGGTATTGCATTCTATAGTTGATTACCTGCTACCTTTCCCCTGGGGTATGTTACTTCTCTGTTATTGCTGTCAATTCTACTGACAAAGAGGGAATGGGCCTTTTCCATAGATAGGGACTGTCTTGTTGGCGGGTCTCCATATTCCTTTATTTCCCTGGGTTAGTGTGTCTCTTGGTTGCCCATGGGAGACTCAAGATGCTGAGCTCTTCAGCTGAGTTTCTTCTTATTTGGGGACCCTAAATGGGCCAGAAGCCGCCCCAGAGAGGTGGTACTGAAGGAAGGTACTTCCAGGGACCTAGAAGAGACGGTGGTCTCTCCGATTGGTCCAGGAGAAGCCTCCCAGAAACCAACAGAAGAAAGGCTAGCTAACTCCTAGTCTAGCCCTAGCTGTAAGCAAATGGAAGTCAAGAAGCTCTACCTAAACTGATCGTAAACAGTGTGTTTGAAGCTGAATAAGAACTAATTTTCTCTATCCTACTTATTTTCCTGGAAAAAAAAAAGAACTCCCAAGAAGCAAATCTCCGAGAGTGAAAAAAGGGGAGGGATTCTCTCCCCCCCCTTTGGCTTTTGGAAGCAGCAAATTTAACTCTTTAAGGAGAAAAAGAAAACTGAAAAATGACCCAACACTGACACCTGGTGGACGAGGAGCTAAAAAACTTTTTATTTGTGGCTTTTAAAATCTTAAAGTACAGCTGTTCAGAGAAAGTGATATTTACAGAAAAAATGGATGTTTTACAAGAGGAAATATATGATATGCTGCAATCCATTCAAAGGACAATGATCTTAAACTATGAAAAAATACAAAACAATTTATGTATAAGTCAACATATCTCTAATTTCAGCTCACTTCAAAAAAATCCTCAGGAGAACACAGCAGAGATAATGGAATATAAATCAGAGGGAAAAGGCTTAAAGATGGACTTTTACAAAATTAAGTATGACTTAATTCAAGTGGAAGGAAAGACAATTTATACTTCAACATCACAAAACAAATTGGAAGACAAGAGAAGGGATTCTAATGGAAAAAAGAGTGCAAGTGCGCAGGACAGAGATATTGATCTACATTTACAGGAACACCTATGATCATATGGGAAAACTTTTGGATCCAGCAAAGTATAGTGATCAAGAAAGATTCGGGGCAAAGAAAAGAGATTAAAAAAAAAGAGATTGGGATATATCAGAGAGAATATTTTAAAAAGAAACATCTGTTTGAATGTGATTAAAGAAATTGAAAAATTTGAAACCCACCATTTCAAGAGAGATGAAATGTTTTAGATGCTTAAATGTGATTGAATTCAAGAAAAGTACATATATATATATAAGTGAATTAGAGTTAAGGGACTAGACTAGATTTATTGAATAGAATGTCTAAAGATTAACTATATTCTTAACTATGATTAAAAAGAATAAGAAATTTTAAGAAAATAAATACAATTAATCTAGGAGGGATATATATTCTAAATACTATACTATTTCTTATGTTTTGTTATTATTGCTTTCCTCTCTTTTTCATTTTCTTTTTTTTGTTTTTAAAGAAAAGGAATGTATTAATATGATGATTGTTTAGGAATATTGGAACACTTTAAGAAGGATGAAATATTTTAGATATTTTAAGGTGACTGAACTCAAGAAAAATATATATAATACATATAAAATCTTTTGAATTAGAATTAAGGGATTAGGTGACTAGATTTATTGAACAGAATGTTTAAAGATTAAATATATTTTTAACTATGATTAAAAAGAATTAGAAATTTGAGAAAATAAATACTACTAAGCTAGGAGATATATATATTTTAAGTAATATGTTATTTTCTCTGTTCTGTTATAACTGCTTTTCTCTATTCTTTTGTATTTTTTATCTATTTTTTCTCTTATTCTCTTTCTCTTCCCTTCTCTTTTTACTTTTATATTTAATACTTAAGAAACACAAAAATGTGAGATGGCTTATATGGAAAAAAATAGAATCAAGTCTGTCAACGTAAATGTAACTAATTGCTACCAGTAAAAATGCTCAGAATTTGATGGGAGAAATAAACTAAAATAAGGACTGTAACAGGATTGATGATAAGGCAAATCCAAATGAATGAAAAGAAATGTATTAATATGATGATTATTTTTAGGAATATTTGAAAAAATATATACTAAATTGTCAGTTATTAAAATACTAAGAATTGTATCAATGCAATGTTTGCAAAAAAGGATGTTTTTAGGGAAAGAGGAAAGTAATCAAAATTAATATATGAAATACAGATTATAGAAATTAATTGTTAATGACTGTTTTTACAAATGTAACCCAGACACCACACTGTTTACCAACTATTGAATGACTTATGTTTGTGTAAAAAACTAAAAATTAAAAAATTAAATAAATAAATAAATGAAAGAAAGAAAAAGAAGGAATAAAGAAACAAACATGGGATTTTGCCTTCAACCATGATTGAAGTGAGTGTGTTGAGATGTACATACAGTACGAAGCTGTATAAAGTATGAATGGCTGGTTGAGAGATAACAAAATGTAACCACAAGCATTTTTAGCCTGTTTGGACAAGCTACTGTTACACAACTCCATGTCCATTTGCATATTTACAACCTTTGCTTTCTTTAAAAGGGTCTTTGTTTTTGCTCTAATCTACAACCTTTTGCTATGCGATGGGAAGTTCCCAGTCTGGAGGTACTGAGGTTCCTGAAAGAGGGATTGTATGAAAGCCCACTTGGCTTTCTATGATGTCCAGGGAGCTCCAGTGAAAAGACCTAATAGAGCAATAAAGGAGGAATTATATCCAACTTTGCAAATCCTTTACCTGTGTATAACCCCAGTTGGGCAGCTGCAGGTTAAAATGAAACAAAACAAAATTGTAACATGTTTGGTCAACCAGAAAATTAAGTGGGCTTCTCAACTTGGGATTAGAGTGGTGGGAAATGTGTAGGCAGTGGTTAGGGCCCCCAATCATATTTTTGATTGGAATCACTCCTTGAGTGTTCTCATTTCTTGGAGAACAAGCCATGAGTTGCCTAAGAGAGGAAAAAGAACCTCCACAGGTCTGTACATTTTATGTAACACCCCCCCAGGCTCTGAAAGAAACAGTAAGTTGCAGACTTTTGTGAAGTAAGCAGAAAAAAATAGGCATAATTACCTAGAGCAGAGAAGCTAGAAACAAGGCTAACAGCAAAGCACATTCACCAACCAAAAAGAGTGTCAGGACCCACCTCATCCCAAGAAAGCAGAACTCATGGAAGCAAGTTCTTCCAAAAGGAACTTTTATTAGGAGAAGGTGATAGCAGGCCTACTAGACAGGATCTGAGGGGCTCCCATACAGATTGATAGGTTAAAGTGTCCCCAAGTAAACTCCCCCCCATAGTTCATCCAGATGGTTCAAACTGGCAAATTCCCAGGTCCATCATGGGAAAGGGGAGATAACATCTGGCCGGCTCTGATCGTAGCAGCAATGTTTAGATGACTCTTTGCACCTTCTCTTGAGAGCGGAGAGATAAGCCAGGCTCCAGAGGTTGTATTTCTTTCTTCCTCCCCCTTTGCTAGCTGACACATTAGAGAGAAAAAAGTTCAGAGAGAAATAGTGCAGGAAAGCGAAGTGTTACATTGTAGCAATAGAGAAAGAATGCAGGAAAGCAAAGTATTACATTGTAGCAATAGAGGAAGGTAAGGCAATAAACCCGTGATCCTTCCCCCCTCCCCTCTAGGAGTATGGCAGAACCCAGGGAGAGAAGAGAATGGAATCTGGGAGAGAGAAGGAGAACAAGGGAAGTATGAAATATGATAGATATGGGTTCTGAGAAAGAGGAATTTTCAAACAACAAACTCATGGAGCAGGTGACTGATACTATTGTGGTATGCAATACATGTTCCACGTATATGCTTAAACCCAAAGAACACCCAAACTATATATGCATTAGATGTAAACTCTGTAAACTACTGGAGGAAAAAGTAAAGGACTTAGAGGCAACTCTAGCCAAACCCCAACATACAAAAGAAAGCTCTAACAAACCGAACCAATTAATGAACAAATAACTCCCAGAGGATTTGACCCTACTGATAAACCCTTGGAGGAAGGCAAATGGAGGTATGTCACACATAGAAGGAAACACAATACTCAAAGAAAGAAACAGCATACAACTAACAAACCCCTTCTGTCCAATCCAACCCAATCAGAAACAGCCCCACTAAAACTGAGCAATCGATTTCTTCCCTTAGATGGAAACACACAGACCCACAACCTTCAAAGAAAACATGCAGATGCCTAGCAAAGAAACAACTTAAATTTCCCTAAAAAGTCACTTCAAATATCCCTTAAAAAGTCACATCAACAAACACACCAGAGATAAACAGAAAAGCACCCCAGACTGCAGCCCCCCAAAAGGTAGGCGAGTGTTGGTAATAGGAGATTCTATCCTCAGAGGAACTGAACCATCCATCTGCAGACCGGACATACAATCCAGGGAGGTATGTTGTCTCCCTGGAGCAAAAATCAAAGATGTGACTGAGAATCTAACCAAAATAATTAGGCCTACAGATTACTACCCTTTCCTCCTCCTCTACATTGGGATGAATGACACAACAAACAACCTGAGTATAACAGTGAGAGATTATAGACAACTGGGCAATAAAGTTAAGAAGCTAGGAGCACAAGTATTGTTCTCATCCAAACTCCCAACGAAAGGCCAACACCCATCAAGGGAAAAAAGAATTCTAGCAATAAACTATTGGCTAAAGGGTTGGTGTCACCAAGAAAACTTGGCGCATTTCCTACATGAAGGACTCTTGGCAAGGGATGGGCTGCACCTCATGAAAATAGGGGAAAATGTACTCAGAAAAAGACTGGCCCAACTCATCATGAGGGCTTTAAACTAAAATTGAGGGGGGAGGGTGACCAATCTTTAGAATCTCTATAACCCAAAACCGATCATAAATCCCAAGGAAACAAATCAAATAATGAAGTAGGCAGAAACGAGAAAAAAGAAAAACCCAAACAACAATCAGGAGATGCAGGAAACATAGCCACAAACAGGCATAAAATGCTTATATACAAATGCTCAAAGCTTGAGGAACAAACAGGGCAAACTAGAAGCAATAATACATGAGGGAGAGTATGACATAGTTGGCATTACAGAAACCTGGTGGGACTAAACCCATGAATGGAATGGACTGATGGATAGATACAAATTGTTCAAAAAAAAAAAAAACCAGGTCTACAAAAAGAGATATGTAAGAGAACACTACATATCTACAGAAATGCACATGATCCAAGATAAAATCTCTCCAGAATGTATATGGGTCAATATAAAAGAGAAAAAAAGTGACATTACCATAGGTGTATATTACAGGCCACCCAACCAATCAGAAGAAATAGATGAACTCTTTATTAACCAGTTAACAAATGTATATAGGAAGCATACCACAATAGTAATAGGAGACTTCAACTATCCAGATATCAACTGGGAAACAAACTCTGCAGCGAGCAGAAGATCAAATAGATTCCTGACCAACCTAGCCGACAACTTTGTCATCCAAAAGGTGGAGGAGAGAACTAGACATAAAGCCATACTGGATTGAATTCTACCTAATAGAGAAGAAGTGATAGAGGGAGTTGAAGTTGCCGGAACCTTGGGTGAAAGTGACCACGCTATACTGGAATTTAATATAATGCAAACACTAGCAATAGAAAACAATCCAACCAGTGTCTTGAATTTCAAAAGAGCTGACTTTAACAGAGAAAATCTAGGAAAGATTCCATAGATGAAAATCCCAAAGAGGAAAACAACCCAAGAAGCATGGGAAACTCTGAAAAATGCAATCATAAAAGCCCAGACCAGAATACTACCACTGAAAAAGAAAAACAATAAATTCAAGAAGAAACCAACATGGCTGCATAAAGATCTCTCTGACAAACTAAAAGAGAAAAAGGACAAATACAAAAAATGGAAAGAGGGGCACATAACTAAGGCCAATTATCAGCAGACAGCGAGAACATGCAAAGATGAAGTCAGGAAAGCAAAGGCTCTGAATGAACAAAGACTTCCAACAGAAATTATGGATAATAAAAAAAGTTTCTTCCAACATATTAACAACAAGAAAAAAGTCAAGGAAACTGTAGGTCCACTAAAAAGAGAATATGGCAAGGAAATAACAGGTAACAGGAAGAAAGCAGAGCTGCTTAACTCATACTTTGTATCGGTCTTCACACAAAAAGAAACTATAGCCAACACACCAAAAAAAACCACTGCAAAAGACAAATTAGAAACAAAAATTAAAATAAGCAAGAAAATGGTAAAAGAACACCTATCCGACCTTGACTAATATAAATCACCGGGGCCTGACAGATTACATCCCAGAGTTCTGAAGGAGCTGGCAGATGTTATCTCAGAACCATTGCACCAAATCTTTCAAAAATCCTGGAGCACTGCGGAAGTACCTGAGGATTGGAAAAGGGCTGATGTGGTTTCCATCTTCAAGAAAGGGGAAAAAAACAGACCCAGGAAACTGCAGACCAATCAATTTAACATCAG